ATTTAAACTAGATTGCAATTATAAATTGTTTAAAAACTGTCTTAATATTTTATATTTCTCTTTGAAGAAGAATTTCTTCCACTTGAGTTGGAAAAAATCTATTTCTTTCTGGGTGGTTTTTTCCACTGTGAAAGAAACTTGCCATCCCTGCAATTATGCAACTTACTTGAAATAAATATTGTGTCTATTATTTTGAAAGATTCGTGAAAACGCATTTAAGAAAGAACACGAATTCATTTAACCAAATTCCGAGTGAAATGTATGCATTTAACAAGGATGAATACAATAGCGGTAAAAATTTAAATTTGAATATTTCGTGACTAAACATAGTTTAAACTTTTTCTTCTTATATATTACTAAATGTCGCCTTTTTTTTGCGTCTTACTCTGAAGCATGATTATGAATTCCTAAAAACATTATATGGAATTTAAAACACTGGGTGAATCTTAATTTTTTTATATACGGTTATTTAAAAGTGGTTACAACAAGGATTTGATTTGCCTGCATTTCTTATAATAATTATTAAATAATCAAATGAATTATAGACATTTTTTCCCTTCTGATATCGATTTCAACTTGTCGTTTGTGTATCTCTTTAAAACCTGGTGCAATTTGAAAGTACTATTTTTTTCCTGTATAAATAGCTTTAAGTGTTAAAAGTGGTAGTAAAGTTTTTCTTTTTTGAAAATTAATCTTATAAATTAAAGACAAATAATGCGTACTAGAATACATTATTAAATTTAAGATCTAATTTTATGTTAGTAATGAAACAGCTGGGATATTTTCAATATTATAGTGGTAGCTATGATAAGAAAACTTTTACCCAGTTTATATATTACCACTATGCACACAATGGGATCCCACACAATCGTGCAAGCTCTGTCTTAAAGAAATATTGATACTTTTTATTAATATCCTATACAGCATACAACCATATTTTAATAGTTTTTTTATGTAAAGTTTTCAAATTATTTCTATATTGTTTATTTATATAAAATTTCTTGAAATTCTTAATTTATTTATTAGTTTTTACTTTACTTTAGTTGACTTTTTAATATTTTACTGATCAAAAGTAAAAAAATTTCTCTCATTTTTTATTGAAGGCTTTAACATATTGTTTTGATCCTAATATTAATACTTTTTCTATATTCCGAAAAGCTATGGCTAAAGAAAACAAAAAATTTTTATTTAATTTCATACACAAAATATGAGTTTACTTAAATAAAAAATCTATGCCTTTAATCTCCTTGAATATAATTCTCAAAATATTTGATTAGTTAAGTCTTTTATAAAAATACATGTACTTTTTTTAAATTTTTTTATTTTGAATTGATATTTAGTATAAATATATGATACCTCAATATTAAAACTATTTTTGGGTACTAATACATAAGCAAAAAAAATAAGCTAAAAAATTTATTTTGTGATTCGTGTTTTTTAGGGTATAAATTATTAGTAATTTATGTGTTATATGGAAATCATATCTTATTTATTGTATAGTTATATGATTAATATTAATGTTAATAAATGTTCGCTTTATATGAAGTTTTAAGTAGCATTAGCAAACCACCTACATTCTATATGAATACTTTATATTACTCTATATATGATATGAGGGCGTTAATGGCTTACGTAACTCTTTATTAAAGAAAATTGACTTCATTAAGCTAAGTAATTCAATGGACATTAATGAAATGTTATTATCATTCCATCTCTTGGGTTTAACTTGATAAGTTTCACGTTATATGTTTTCTCAATAAATACGTGTGTTGCATGTTTAGAAGACAGATGTTTGCAATTATATAAATAAGGGAAAATATATTTTATTTAAATATTATTCAAACTTCCTATTTATTGTTTTAAAGTGACTGAAACATTATTAAAATGATGAGAGTCTAATTTTTAGTTAAAAAAAAACAGTAGAAATTTTCATTTGATAGTAAAGGGTTGAGATATACTGGAGTGTTCGGCTATGACCACCTTTAATGTATATTTTTAAGTTCTATTTCAAAAATGAGCTCAAAAAGTATAAACAGCGGTAGCACGTTAGTATTAAAGTGAAGAAATAACGTTATCGAAATCTGTCAAATCATTAGAAGAGCGGGGTGGCACGTATAAAAACTAGTTTGATTGCCTGAAGAAACTTAAAGGCGTTTCTAATAATTACATTTCAACTCTTGCCTGTTTCCTCGAGCAATCAAGTAAATTCTGATGTTTCCAGTCTCGCATTCTTTACAAGTGACTATACAAGAGCCGTGGTGGCTCTAGGGATAGAGCGTTCACCTTCCAATGAGGCGAACCGGGTTCGAATCCCAGCGATGGCTAGTAGATACTAATTCCGCACCCTGCTCAGTGGCAGACGGATCATGGGTTCGAGTCCCCTTGGTGTCAAGCTAACCGTGGGAGGTTTTCGTGGTTTTCCTCTCCGTGTAACGCAAATGCGGGTTAGTTGCATCAAAAAGTCCTCTACGAAGGCAAATTTTTCCCAATACTTGTTCCAGGAGTTCCCTTGTCTTCTGGATTGGGGTTCAAAATTACGAGGCTATTGAGTTGATCATCAGTAGTCGTAAACCCAAAAAATTGGGTCAGCTGTTCTACTACGGCTATGAAATAAAATATAAAATTGTAGTAATAATTGTGAACTTAATTTAAAACAAATATTTTGAATTTAATTTTTAGCCATTTTTTTATTTAAGTGATTATCTGATTTCTTAATCGAAAGTTTATTTTCTTATAAAACTTCCTCAGTATTACTTATAAAAAAAAAATTTTAAAAATTCAGTTTTAAGTCTATACAACAGTTATAGTTAACAGAATTCTGATTAATCGAAACTAATTCGACATTATCAATAATTATATTATTTTTAAAATTTCATACGAATAGATATTTATAATTTATTTTACATAATTTATTATTTGTGTGTCATTTAAAACAAATATTTTTAATTTAATTTTAGGTATTTTTTTATTAACTTGATTTTCTAATTGATTTCTTAGTCGAAATTTTAATTTCATGAAACTTTCTTAATATTTTTTTAAGTCTATACAACAGTTACAGTTAACAGTTTTCTGATTAATAGAAACAAATTAGACATTATTATGTTAAACAATAATTATATTAAAGTTCTTTCATACAAATATTTTACTTAGATCTAAGTTTATTGGAATTTTGAAATTCATTTTATTGACAATTTTATTATCTTGTCGGAACAAAAGAAAAAAAAAAAAAAAAACGAAATAAATTTTAAAAAATGCAAAATATTTTTGTTTGTGATTGCGGGCTTCATGTAGCCGGCTGGTCACGTGCTGGACATGACTGTTCTATAAAGTAGTAAAAACTTCTGAAGCGCTAAATTTTGTTTATCATCATTTCATTGCAATGCAATGTGAATGCTTTCTAAAAAGATATTTTGAAAGCGGAAATGAAAGTGAGCCGGAAATTCAAATAAATCATAAGTGCGAAATGATTAGCTAGTGACTCATGGCAACTCTGATTTTATTGCATTTGGGATTTTCTATTTGTGTGAATTTTTGTCTTTTAAGTTATTGCCAATTTCAAACTAATAATATAGAAGAAAAAAAGGAATCTTAGGAAGCCTGTACACGATACATATCTTGAAGATGGAGTGGAAATTATGTTGCTTTAAGTAATAATAATAAAAAATAAAAATAAAAAATAAATAAATAAATAAAACGAAGCGTTTGGTATTATATCTGGCCGTTTTATAAATACATCGTGTGAAATCGATGTTATTTAGTCATTGGATTACGATATTGTTATAAAATATTCCCACAGTAAATTGTGAGGTCTTGCAATGAATATCGATTGTACGATAATTATAGGCAACAATAATTCCGCAATGCTTATCGATAACGATTATTATCGCATAAGAAAATATCCTGATAAATGAATCATGAATACGATATTATCGAGATCATTATCGATTACGAGAAATTTAGATCATGATAATTTTTAATGAGTGTTCGATATTTATCGCATACGATATTATCGCGATAATATTCGACGATGATTAAAATTGATTACGATAATGTAATTATTATATGTTATCATGAGTGCTGATAACTTTCATATGGGTAAAGAAAATACTGATTAATGTTGAAGTAATGTTAATTATTTTAATTGAAAAAAAAATCAGTGTTATATAGTAAAAGATTGATATTTTCAGGCGATACATTGCAATAATAAAACTCGGATGTCGCCCAGCACTGTTTGTTACAACGAAATTTTATTTACGTGAAAGGTACCCGATGTGACACTCACAAATAACAATGCGTTTTAGTATAATTTTTTGTGGAGATTGCTCATAAGTGAAATTGTTTTCTATTTCGCTCTGGTAATAAAAGAGAATAATAATAAATAATTTATTAAAAATGTTTTAAATATGTTTCGAAATTCTCGCCAACTTAAATAAATTGGAAGCCAATTTGATTTCAAGAATCACATAAAGATATTAGCGACGTTTTTAATGCAAAACCGCTCACTTTAATGATCCACATTTCTTTGATCAAACAGAAGTAGACAATTTTTTTTCTCCTTGAATTTCGCTCTCCGAAAGATAATCAAATTAATAACTACTGATGCTAATATTTTATAAGCAGTACTAATATTTTATAAATAATTAATAAATTTGAATCGCTTATTCAAGTAAATAAATACCAATTATTTATTATTAATTTCTATTTAAATTTAAGAATTGCTATCTTATAAACTTAATTACAAATAGGAGGAATGTATAGCATGAAAATGAGAAGGGAAAACAAAAGTATAAGATTCCGGTTCAAAATTTTTAAAAATTGTCGTGAAAAGGTTTCTAATGAGGAATTTCTTTGTTTTGATGAAACTTGTAATGTTTTTGATATCTTCATTGATTCTTCTTGTAATTGTTTTAAAACAAAAAGAAGTTTCGCAATATTTTAAATTTTTTGCTTGCTCTTCTTTTAATTGAAAAAATAAATAATATATTTTAAAATTATTTTAGGGCGATAATCGGCTCACCTCGTTCAAATTCTACAGTATTAGGAGATCAGCTTTATCAACCAGGTGCTTTATTTAAATGTGATCTGAGAGCTTCCTGTGAGGAAATAACACTCGATAAAAAAGGTAAGATTTATTGTTTACACTTTGATAAATCTTAATGATTGTGAAACTGATGTGTTATTTGAGCTGCAGGGATCTATAATGCGCATTTTTTAGGATTGATCTCTATAAATAATGTAACAAAATTGATAAAATAAAAAAGTATATTTTAAGTAAGTGCGATGTTGCTATAATTTACCAATAATACGGTATTATGAACGGAATATATCGAGACGACTGGAGATATCTTAACCCGTAAACTGGACCGAAAGTGTTATGAACAGATTATGTCCGTTCTTAGTCAAAAAGAATAATAAAAGGTGCTCGAAAACGTTAGAATCTTCTAAAGAAGATGGAACACTTTTAGTTCATTTTCCAAAAGATGGTGCAACGCTGAATCGGTTCAAGTTATCCTATTTAGACCCAAATAGTGTTCTAGTAAACGAATATCGATTAAGCCCCCTCCCACAAATCATTCAATTTTTCAGGGTTTCAAGTAAATTTTTAAAAAGTTAAAAATTAGAAAATTTTAAAAAAATATTACGTTTTACTTAAATATTGCCGAACAGAATTTGTAGACCCATGAATCATCAGAATCATGGTGGCTCAGGGGATAGAACGTTCGTCTTCCAATGAGGTGAATACCAGCTATGGCTAATCGATACGAATTCTGCACCCGGCTCGCACCGACCACAGTGCTGACGCAAAATATCCTACTGTAGATGGATCATGGGTTAGAGTCCCCTTGCCGTTAGGCTAACCGTGGGAGGTTTCCGTGGTTTTCCTCTACATGTACCTCAAATGCGGGTTAGTTCCGTCAAAAAGTCCTCCACGAAGGCAAATTGTTAATACAAAGAGGGTCCAATTCAGAAAAACTGTCGGAATTGCCGAAAACTATTCATTTATAACGATGATGAAAATGGGCTAATGAGAAATGGGCGTTTTTTTGCCTTGGAAAACGCCATTTGCGAACGAGAGAGCTAATATTATCTTTAATCCGAAGTCTGTAATGAGAGTGAAAAAGAATTTGCTTAGAACATTGCCACTTTTAAAAATTGTTCAATCTGAAAATTGTCCATTTACCGAATTGACCTCGATTCCGAATGATCCATATAACTGATGTTCTACTCACTGTCTGTGATGCTGTTTGCATAGTATAGTGTATAGTCAATATTTGCATTCGTCGTGGCATTAAAATTTACATTCACTCCACTCATGTTTTATTTTTATATTTTCAGCAACACTGAAATCTGATATAATTTTGTAAAAAAAATACATTAAAGTTTTACGAGTAGTTTTTTATTTAAAACAAACGAGTGGTTTTTTATTTACAAAAAATGCCAAGACCCAATTAAAAGTTTCTAATCCACAATTTTTTTTGAATTTTAAGTGACTATCTAGGAACATGAACTAATTAAAAGGATTGCCTAAATGAGAGATGTACGCGAAAGAAAATACAGTCGCTAACGCTATGCATTATTAAATTAGGTTAGATAAGTGCACCGCTAATTGCATGTTACTAATTAATCAGTTCATCACGTGAGAGCATTTAAAATGAATTCGAAGTCGTGCAAAAATAGACTTGTTCGGTACAAACGTTTTGAACAAGTGGTGTAAAAGTTTTTGTAAAGAGCGAACATGAATATCGGATGAATAGCCAAAACTTTGATACCCATAAATCCATTGCTGTCCTTAATAAAAGGTTCAGAGGTAATCAAAGAGTTACGACTCGGGACTTCTGTGCAGCACTTTGTCTGACGTAAGTTAAGGAATAGCACGAACACTTCTTACCAGGGACTAATATAGGACCTTTATATCTATGCTTCTTACCAACATTTAACAACAAATGTTCGAACTAAACAACGTACTATTTCACGTTGTTATGCTCTAGATACATCCTTCTTAACTCAACTTTATATTCAGTTTAAATGCTCTCGCGTGAAATGGTTAATTAATTATACACTTGCTGCGCATTTTTCTTATCTTCCTTTTTAACCCTGCATGGTGGTACTATACAAAGAATAGCTACTCTATTTCTGAGAACACCATCACCAGAAAAAACATCAAAGAACATACACAAGGGGTGCCGTAAAGACCGCTCTTAATATGTATTTTTATAATCCTTATCAAAAATTTAAAAAAAAACTATGCATATTGTGGGTCGCAAATTCATACTCAAGCAACAACAACAAAAAAAAAATGCTAACGAAATCTGACAAATCACAGTACAGAGAGGCGAATGTAATAAACATCAAAACAAATTTATATGGAGGTTAAAACTTAAAAGTGTTTACAATATTAATCGTCTTATAACTCTTCTCTATCTTTACGGAAAGATATACTGTACTTAAATAATAATTTAAAGCGTGTGCTCTAACATATTTTTTTTTCTCTCAAAAATGACACTTTTTAGAAGCAGGCATGCCACGGACAGCGGACTTACAACGAGATTAAAGTAATAATAATAATATTTAAAAAAAAGCTTTGTCTTAGTTTAATTTCGCTGCGTTTTTCCTTATAGACCATACCACAACAAAGAGAATAGCCATGATATTTAAAGGCATATTGCTTTAAAATAATTTTCTTTTTGTCGGATTTATTAATGATCAATTTCATCGCATGTTTGTTCAATTCCATTTCGTCATTTTCAAACTAAAAACTATGTTATGCAATAAGTTGAAAGACGAGAAGAAAGTATATCTTTTGCAATACATTCCGTAACATGACTAAATTGTATAAAAACGTAAATATGTTTTATTTTATTAATCCTTAGTGCTAACCGTTATATTTGCTAACAATTAAATTAATATTGAAAAATAAAACATAACGCTGCTAATTACAAAATTAACTTTAAATTTTACTTTCACTTTTTATGTATCTTTAATTCGATTCTCTTAATTTTTTTTTTAAAAAATAGAGAACTGGTGAATTGCTTAACTTTAACTCCGTATATTTAAAAAGAAAATGGTTTTCCCAGACGCATTGAGAGTCGTATGAAATGGCGGATATTAGTCATATATAGAAATATTCTTTTACTTCATCTTCCAGTTCTTTTATTTATACAGCTTAATTTGTTTCCCCTTGTTCATTTTTGTTTCTCCTTTTTTGGTTAACATGACGTTTGTTGCATCATTGGAGAATGAAAATAAATACTAATGTACTTTTGTTACTATATTATTATTTTTTCCAGAAAGATCTTAAATGTTGGGCAAACGGGACATTGTTTCAGGGTCTCGCATTTCTAGGACTCTAGAGGTCCCTAGAAAAAATAAATAACTAAATAATAATAATAATTGCATGAATTAATTTTTTAATTTTTCAGTTAACCTGTTCATTTAAACTAATACCATAGAATTAGTAAATTATATGTATTTAAACATTTTTAGTTAATTACGTAAGCGGGACCATTAACGCGCACAATCTTTTATTTCTAATGTATCGGTTCGTGCTTGATGAGCCATTAAAATTTAAGCAATAGTGTGAATTTCAATGTAAAATAAAGTAATAAAATAAAGAATAATAGAATAAAAATTTAATTGAGAATAATAGAATAAAGATTTCTTTTTAAGAATTTAAGCAAAAATCTAATGGTGACTGAGGTGACCTACAAAAAGAAAAGATTAAAAGGCTTCTCAAAATTTTTTGCCCAGGGTGCTGCAAAATCTAGTGATGAATCTGATTTTTCAAATTTTGTCGAATCAATCCAATAATTCGTGAGAAATCAAAATTTAAATATACGACTTTTTTTAAAATTTGACAACTCAGAAACTATTCAACCGATTTAATTTAAATTTTGATTTTTAAGCCGATCTCAAATTTTTAAACCTGTTTATTTAAGTTTCGATTAAGAAAAAAAAATTTTTTTCTACAGCAAATGCTTTGTGCATTAAACGAAGTTCAAATGCCAATTTTCTTTATAATAACAAAGAATTATTCTACGTTTGTAACATTACAGAAGTAGTCGTTATTAAAACATACATTCCAGGAATTATCCCTTTTTATTTATCTTTGATATATAAATTTGGGCAATCATTTAGTGCCTTTGAATAAATTAATAAATTATGCCAATTATTCACTTTACTAGGGCACAAGTCCTATTAATATCATCACGATAATTTAACCCTAATTAAAATATTTATTTCTTTTTAATTTCTTCTCCGTGATGACTCGAATCCTTGAGATGCGACGAAAAGTGAATAAATAATGTTGTTCATTTTGTCAACTTTGTCTTATTTTTGAACTTGTTTACAGACGTTAAGTATTTTATGATTTTATTTTTTAAGAAGGGGGGGGGATCTTATTTTATGTATCTATGAAACTTAAATGATATCTATTAATTATATAATCTATAGTATTTTTAGAACTTCAAAAAACTTATATATTCTATAATGCGTGAGTAAAAACATTGTTGAATGTTGACTTACGTATAAGAATTCGTAATAGTTTTTAATATATTGTTAGTAAATACTATAAAACTTATAATAAATTTAAAACTAATATAACTGTTAAGAACTATTAATAAGGAGTGTATAAATATGTTATAAATGTAATTTTTTTAAGTTTCTTCTCGGGAGTATCTTTTTTAGTTAAATACCGAGTAACACGACCCCGAGGAATCCTAGTGTAAATCTCACTCCATTTTTGTCTTATTCTCATTTTTTTATGTTTCTACGTCAGATATAGTTTCTAACACCATATTATTTTATATATAAATCTGTGTACGTATTTTATTTTTTGACGCTTTACCTCGAGTTTTGTGCAATAGTCGGATTCGTTTGTTGTAAATTTTTGGGACAGATTAGTTTTGATAAAAGTGGTTTTTTACTGTTAAAATTTTATTTTTATCATGCTATGAAATTGGCTCTTCTTTCTCTTTAAACTAATTTCTGAAGAAAACAACATTTTATTTTAATTAGTTTGTAAAAATAAAAAAATATAAAACTTTAGAATTTGCATAAATAAAAAAAATTCAATTTGTTTTACAAAAAAATGGATTTTATAATTAACTTAGCTTATACACTTAA